CCTACACATTTCTGCTTCTCTCGCCTCTCTCTCTGATTCTCCCCTGAGATCCTGTTCGTTGTATGAGAAGGGCTACTGCACATTGATCCCCACTATCTGTGTCGGGTCAGTGGATGCAGCCACACTCAGCACTTTCTGTCTGCCTAGAGAGCACCCGAGCTGTCACATTCTGCTTTTCCTTACTATCCCTGAACATTCCCCTCTCTAGGAGCAGTGACAGGAAATCTGTGTTGACCCCCGGGGTCACCGCCTGGGCGCTGAGTGGATGTCAGATATTTAGATAATATCTGGCATACAATCTGAGATATCCAAAGGCGCCGCTTCATTTGGCCCATGTCACATGGTTTTACACAAAAGCTCCAAAGGTGAGTTACAGTGTGTGATGCTCTCACTGGAAACATATATAAATGACATAAACTATAAACAATAACACATTGCTCAAGCACATTCTCCTCAAATCTGAAGCACAACGCTTTGACGTAAGACCTATGCTTTGCAGCGTCCTGATCTCCATTATGGTAAGGCCTATTCCCTAACAACATAACTTGTTTTGACAAAATGACAGAACGCCTTAAATGTGCTCAGTGGGTGGGGGTTCTTCCTCCTGTGAACGAATGTACTGTACGGTGGCTTCGGGCTTGCCTACATGTGCACAAATGTGACATGTTGCATTTTGTCCTCAGAGAAGAGCAGGGAAGCAGTCTGTGTGCAGTCTGAACCGAGGTCACTGCTAACACAGTCTCAGGAGGCCCATATTGCATGGATGGAAAGTCATATACTATAAATACCATCTGCATACTGTATCCAAGGAACTGTACATACAGTAGGATCCCTATCTCCAATTGCAGACTCTGTGTCTTTGTGGTTGTATTGATTTGAATACATGTGTTCACTCTTCTCTGACTGCTGGAATATATATATACTGTATATAGAAGTGAGTTTCCCTCAATATAGGACACGGTAGGCGTGTTTCCAAATTGCATTTCAAAATCCTATGAAAGTGCCGCCAAATATCTGTCCTTATAAGAAATCCTCAAAGTCTACTGTGCTATACCAACTTTAATATGATTAGCAAACTTTTATAGAAGACGTGAGTATTAATCCATTTGGTTTCATCTATTAAGGGTTTCCATTTGCATCCATTGTCTGATGTCTTTTTCCAGAGCTGAAGACAACACAACAGTGATGACAAACCTGATGCCATTCAAAGTACATTGTGAACTATTCTGCTAACACCAGATCTTTCCCTGAGAGGCTCCTCTCAAGAGCCTGTCATGCATCCTAAGCTGTTGAACTAGCGTAGCTCAGCCTAGAATGCTCTCACTGCCCAAAGTCTCCCTTCCATCCTCCTCCAGTCCTTCCTGTGCTTTCCAAAGCGTTGATCCTCTAAGCCTGCAGAGTTACAGTATCAGTCCTCGGTTACACTAAAGCCCACACTCGCACATCTAGAGCTGTGATGGAGAACCAACTCCTGCTCCAGCACTAAGCCTCCCAGTTGAAATAATCCATCCTACTTCTTTTCTACCTGCAATGCTCTGGGTTTAAAGCAAAGATGTATTCTCATCTGCATTTGCCTCAGCCTGCTAAAATGCCTGTACTGTTAAATACGTCTGGCTTTGGCCTGATCCAGCCGGTTTCACACCAGCCTGAATTTTACATCTCATCTCCAGGCTTTCCCCATCAGGACATCTGCTCTTCTTCTAGAAACTGCTTCTCCAGTCCTCCAGCAACCAACTACCTCGTGTTAGCATCACAGCCGCAGCTCTCAGGCCTTTTAGTGTTGGACAGCCCCCCGGTGCCTCTACAATACATCATCAGCAGACCCACCCAGCTCCACAACACCAGGGGATGGACTGGGCCTGCTCAGTGTACTGTAGCTCCACCGACAGGGGATAAAGGGATAAAGAGCCTCTGCTCAGGGACTGATTACTTACATCTGCCAGGCTAAATCCCAGTGCCCACACACACACACACACACACACATACACACACACACACACACACACACACACACACACACACACACACACACACACACACACACACACACACACACACACACACACACACACACACACACACACACACAAGCAGAAGAGACACACACTTGGCCTGCTGCTGGCTGCAATAAACGCACTGATGCATGTATTGTTTTCTGACACAAGCATGTGGCATGTGGGAAAGCTGTGTGCATGTGAATGTCTTTGGTCTTTATGCATGTGTAAGAAATGATTATACATCAAAAACTATTATGAACACATGTATTGTAAATTACTAATAGCACAGCCATCACTAACTTCCCATTAATGCTCCCATAAATACAGTATGTCAGAGGCTCCAAAAGCAATATAGTACTCTGTCCTTGGCAAAGGTTCTATCCACCTGGAAATACTCATGAGTGCTGTGACACTCAGAACAATTCACACTGCTTCAATTTATATGAACAAACAATAATAGTTTCTCATATCTTAAAAGATATCTACAATTGTGATTCTCCCGCCTAAGTCTCGTACTTTTGTATTATTTTCTGTAAATGTAATGAACTCTGTTGCAGTTATATATTGCCATTTGCACTCTGTGGTCCTTTGTTGACTGTAACCATGGCAGGGTGTGCCAAATGATTTCAAATAGCTTGTAAATATACTCTGGGTTGCTGGCAAGGCACTTTTTTCTCAGATTTATTTAAGACAGAGCCCACTGTGCAACATTCTTCATTAAGATCTAGTACAGTATTAACATTTGGTCCTTCTTAAGCAATTACATTTAACTACACTATACATGAATCTGCTGTTAATACTTGGGTCTTCCATCACTCTGCATGATACACTAGCTTATATAGCTATGAAGCTGTTTAAAACAGGGTTGGGTGTTTTATGTTTGAATACTGTCGCCCTGGACTGCATGTATATGAGCAGTGGCGGATGTTGATATGGGCGACATGGGCGGAGGCCCAGGGCGGCATTTTGACTGGGGACGGCACAAAAAAACGTTATAAACAACCACTATAACCGTTATCGATTTAGTCACCTTCATTTAGCAAACACCTCAAAAGGTAATTGTACTGACAAGTCCTTTGTGTAATTTTACATACTGGAGGCTTAATTAAAATCTGTCTGTAATATAGGCCAATACAGTACTGATATGTTGTAGCCCATCTTTTGTGAGATATGTGCCAAGAAAGAATTAGTGTAGGAAGTTGTGTTATTGTTCTAACAGTTCCTATTCTGAAAAGATAATAGGCCTACATTGTGCACACTGAAAGACAAAACAACGAAAGGTGCACCGCCCAGGGATCCATAGGTCTGTAAAAACAATAATGTTATAAGTGTTGACTTTATATGTTAGCATCTGTTTTTGAGGTGAAAACCATGGGTGTTTTAGTGCAGGCGCTACATTTATATTGAAATTTCAAAAAACATGATCAGAGCCTAGAGTTTCAGCTGGCCTGTTGACTAAACAAATGTCAAATACCACAGAAGATGAAGTGCCACGGCGCATTAGAGTTTAGCCTATGACCAGAAAGTCATCATATATCACTGTTATCATAAGTTTCATTGTTCGTCAGTTTTAGAAAGCGGGCATCACTATCAGACATCCCCAGGAAGTCAGGCTGGCCCACTGACCTCATGCTTCCAGCTCATCTTTCTCACCCGGGAATAGAAGGAGAAAAATCATAACTCGCATAAGAGCATATTAATCCCGTGGTCTGAGCGCATGCTGCCTGTGAGTGCTTACCTCTGTCAACAGAGATCTGTGTGCCGTTTCACACAGACACACCTGTGCACCAACACTGAGCTGCAAAAGTGCTCGACAGGAAATCAAAAAGTATTACTAGAGGGGGAATTATAGCATAAATTGTTAATGTGGTTGTATTTTATATTGTTAATTTAAGTAGAAAGTCAAAGTCATCTTATGTACTGGACAATAGTGTTATTGTTGATTTGGCCGATCCGTCAAACTACAGTATCAACGTCCCTTCATGTTGGTATGGCAACTGGTTGATTAAACAGCTTTAATACTATCTTTCTGTCTTTATTTTTATTATGTATGCATTGTAATTAAATATAAAAAAATTTAATGCAGTTTTAAGCTCCTCAACTGCATTGTGTGCCAAAAAGCAGGTGGATGACTGAAGAAAGCCAGAACTGTTGGCTGTTTTAAATAAATCAAGTGTAAACAACAATACCAACAATGTCACATCTTGCAGAGATTCAGCTATGACTAAACTTCGAGAGGACTTCAACTGCAGGGGTATGTTATTGATGTTATTGTTATCAAATAAACAGATGCTAATTTGGAGCTGGAAGGCTGTGGGATGCAGCTGCTTACAAGGGTGCAAGGAGTCAGAAGAAATCGTACATCGAATTACCGCCATCTTCTGGCACCATGAGAACCAGCCCTTCACTCGTTAACAGATTCACTGATTCGTGACTGAAAATATTTATAGCGCAAAGCCATCTTAAGTCATACACATATCTTATAAAGTGATCGTAGCTAAACCACCGAATGCAGCGTTTTTATTTAAATTGGGTGATAGCGATGAATGACATTTGTATCACACTCCGTTTCATCCTGAGATTGCAGTCATCATTAAAACGTCCATATAGGGAGAGCAAGAGAGAGTGGCTTTGGAGTGCCCGGCTGATGCAGTGCCTGGTGAAAACAGGTTACAAATAAAACGCACTGACACTCAACAGCAGAGAGACAATATGGGGGACAAGCATTAACATCGGGTAAGGGAGGTAAAGAGACAGCATTTGACTTTTGCGCATTGAAAACACGCTCACCGACAACGAGGCTGCACATATTCCAATCATAACAGAACCCAATGTTTCCCCTTGGACGCACAATGTTTGGAGTGCTGCGGGGCAATGCGCGCGCCATTCACACGGCGCACATGCACACACGCACGCGCACACACACACTCAACTGTTTTAAACACGCCTGGGTCAACCAGCAGCAGCAGCTTAGTGAAAGGGATTTACTGTGTGTGTGTTTACCTCGGTGTCATAGATTTTGGTGATGAGTGAGAACGAGTACTTCCTGGACTCCCGTATGTGCTGGATGGCCAGTTGGACCGCGGGCTCGATGCCCTGGCTGATGCCGCTCATCAGGGCCGACTCGTTCATGGGCATAAGCACCATGATGGGCAAGTTTTCCCCGTCCCTGGCGAACCAGCTGTTGTCCTGTCCGTGTTTGGTGCGGTCGTTACACACCTTGGCCAGGGCAGGGTGAAATAGCAAAACAGAGAGGAGCAGACATCCCGTCGGGAGGAACATCTCCCAGCCGCTGCAGTCCCTCCGGGCTGGAGCCATGCTACAGTGCAGGGTGACCAAGTGAGATCCCACCGTGCCCTCACTGTTTGGGCATCGCAGAGTCGGGCTAGTCCGGGATGCTCAGACGCCCGCCCGTCAAGGAAATCGTATTTCAAAACAGAGCAGACACGAAAGCCGCAGCAGCCCCTGCAGTGCCCAAACTCGTCGTATTGATTATTACTGTACTAAGAAAAATAAAACAAATGTTTCTACTCTATAACAGTGCCTCTATCAGAATATTCCAAGGGCGCAGAAATTCGCGTTGCAGTGGCAAAGCTATAGCCTCTCGGTGTCCGTCATCCAAACGATCTCCTGTCACAGCAGCCCTCTAATTCAACCCCTCTTCACCTTTAATTTGAACCACTTATCTTAGAAGAATGTCCTGCTGGATGCCCCGAAAACAAAAAGATTCCTAAGAGTAGTCAGGGATCAATCACTTTCCTTGACAGTTGTTGCGGATACAGAAATCACCTCCGAAGTAAATTCCAAGCCAAGAGATGACAACTGTGGGCATCCCTTCCAACGCAGTGCTGAATCTGACGGATTACGAGACAACGAAGCGACACGGTAAACAGACTAAAAACAAATGACGTTGAATTGTCAGAGGTCCGAGGGGGAGATGTTGAGAGATTGTGCCTTGACAGCCTGTGGGACTGGGATGCTCATCTCCGATGGTGCGTCAGAGAAGCGCTGAAGCCGCTGCTGCTCACCGCGCGCGCAAGAGGGAGCACTGAGTGTGGAGGAGGAGAGGAAACGAAGAGGGGGAGGAAGGGGAGGAGGGGGGCTATAACGGCCTGGTGGAAAGGCTGCATGGGCTTTATGCGGGGCAGACTCTTTAGCGGCTTGACGGCCAAGGGTGATTTACTGGGCTTTTATGTTGTAGGAGGCAGACGACGTGTCAGACATGCATAGAGCAGGCTAGTTACATTACATTACATTACATTGTAGTTAAATATATAGGGCTGTATACACGCATGAAGCCCTGTTATAGCACGTCATACAACAGTCACATCAAAAACACTTTGTACAGCTATATTTCTGTGGTTCATTCAAATCGCACACCCTAAGCGACGGTGAGGTATTTGCAGTCAGCTGGGCTTTGATTCCCCCTACCTGCTGTATACCTGCCGAGCTGCATCTGCGCATGATAGACAGACAGCTTGCTGTGTGAATCTCAAGCATATAGGATGAAAAGAGAATCCCCAATAGGATCAACAAAGAATATATTTTTAGTCATGAACAAAGGGATCGGGACTGTTTGCATTGATTTAGTGGTGAAATAAACAGTGACACCTGGCAGTTAACACAACGTCTCGAAATGCAGCTTGTGAGTCCCACATCTTTTCTTGAGGAGTCCCAGGAAAACTACATTTTCAGAATGAATGTGAAAATAATCAAGACATAGGAACTTGGAATAATTGGCTGTTTTTAAATAACTACCATGCCTATTGCTTTAACTTTAACTCATGTAAAATCATAAAATGTTTGGGTAACAGTGTATTCTTCTAGGCAAAGAATTCTGTCTCTGTCCATGGTGCTGAACTGCAGCCGCTCTGCAGCTCATCCTGTCTCCTGCTCCGGTTGATGTGTACATTAGCCCCTTACCTGTGCTCCCCCAAGGCAGGATATACACGTTTTAATATTCGTCTCTGTGCACAAGGATTACCTCCTCCAGCCCCGAGGTCCACAAAACAGGCAATTATTGCAATAGTTTGCTACACAATTCATGGTATTGTTAAACAGGCGTGGGAGGAGAAAATTATGCTAGAGGGTAACTGTTCTCTACATGTGGTAAAAATACATTATCAACTGAAATTGGCATACATACATACAAAACAGTTGACATACAGTTTGACCTAGGCAATTATATCAAATGCACAATAACAATCAGTGTCAAGTGGGTTTGTTTCAAATCGCCGCAAATGAAAGTATAAATCGGAGTCTAATATTTTCTTTTCCAATTCAAAATGAGGGTGAATATAGAGCCGGGCATAAAGATCACCGTGTTCTGATCATTGTGTGGATAGAGGCGTCACTCGCCCACGCCTTGGAGAGCGATTTTGTCAAAGACATGAGAAAGTTAAAGCCAAAGTGCAACACAGGTGACAGGATGCAGGTCTTCATTTTCAAATATTATATTGACAACAGTAAGATGTTTTGTATCTTCCTACAAAGGATAATGTCAGCGTATGCAGTGCTATAAAAATGCATTTAAGTAGTTCCATTTTAGAGATGAATGCAATCTCTAAGCTAGGCTTACCTTTGGAAAATGGGCATTACAAAACAACCTTTGTATATTAAATACTCCCTTCCCCCGAGTCTTCATACAAGATTTAAAGCATAGGGTTCATGGCCGAGCTGCGCCCCTTGCTTCTCAAACCACAGGTCATTTATCACGAGGTACAGCAGCTGCATGCCCAGAAAGAACTGAGTATATCCTTAGAGGATTGCTGGGATACCAAGGTCTCTCTCTCTTTCTCTCTGTCTGACAAGCACATCCTTTATATGAACGATCCTTGACCTACTTTTTGATGTGTGAAGTCAGGAAACCCTGTTTTCTGATTTATGTAACATAAACAACTGACTGGAGGAAGCAGGCAATGAGAGTGTGCCACTAAACCTGCAAATGGAAGTATAGGAAGATCAAGAAACAGCTGTATTTAATGCACTTTGTAATCATCCATGATAAATTAATGACATACCGTATATATATCCTACTGATCTTTCAATAATAATCTTTCAATAACCATCCTTCCTTCCGTCCAGATGAAGAAGTGGGTCAAGTTTTCATCTCATCTGTTTGTTTCGCACTCTACAACAATCCCTTCCTGCTCAAAACATTCCTGGAACATCAAGACAGCAGAGGGTTAGCAATACGTTGTAAAGTACACGTAGGATACAGCCTCAAACAGCAAATTAAACCTAAATGAAATGTGAGAAAACTATCATTCAATTGGAAATGGAGAGTTTTGAATATTAGTTTGTTGATAAGCACATTCTATGGTGTTTATTATTACAGCACCTACAAACATTTCCAGGTACAATCAAGTAAACCTCCAAATTGACACGGTTTGTTTATTTCTGATGTAGAAATCGTACGTGTCCAGCTAATGATTGTTGCAGATGCCCAAATGAAAATGTCCATTTCATTTCAGATTATGAATCATTCATTAAGCTTTCAATCATGACTCTGCAATGTGCCTGTCCTCACTAAATGAGATGTTAAGCCAATATATCACCACTCATTTGAACATATGTGGAGAGCACACAGTAAAACAATTATTCAGATGTCCACATTTGAGCAATCAGAGATGAACAAGGTATTTTCCCCAATTAAATGAAAATCGCGAAGGTGATTCCGTTTTTCAAATCTGGTGATAAATCAAGTCTTAATAACTATAGACCCATTTCTTTACTACCACCATTTTCAAAAATCTTGGAAAAACTCTTCAACAACCGTCTGGAGTTCATAAATTATCACTTAGTGTGGCCAAAACAAATTACATGTTATTCAATACAAAGTCTGAGAGTAGAAATGACTGCATTATACGGATTTGCAATACCGAGATAGAAAAAAGTTGGTGCATGTACATTTTTAGGACTGCTTGTTGACGAAAAACTAAACTGGAAGCACCATATCAATTATGTATAAACTAAACTGTCAAAAACAATAGGTATTTTGTATCATACTAAGAACATTCTGGAGGAACAAATACTCTTTATAACAGTCTATTTCTCCCTTACCTTTACTACTGCTCCGAAATATGGGGAAACACGTACTCAACAAATCTACAAAAAATAATAACATCCCAAAAAAAAGTATTACGAATAGTCTGTGGTGTTGGTAAATATGAACACACAACTCCCATATTTAAAAAACTCAATCTATTCAAATGTGTTGACATAGTACAGCTTAAAACAGTACTGATTATGCACAAAATGTTCCATAACAAAATGCCTAAAAACATTCAAAAGCAGTTCCAAACCTTGGTCAGGAAATACCCAGCCAGGCATCCTAACTGGTTGTGTAGCAAGCCCTGTAGACCAACCATCAAATCACACAGCTTATCCATAAACAGAGTTAGAACGTGGAATGGACTTCACCCAGACCTTTCAATTATCACTTGTCATCAACAATTCAAAACTAAATTTAAAAAAATGTATATTTGCAGATTACTCCAGCGGCCGGTTCCTACCACACTCTTGGTGACTACATCTGGTATAATTTATTTATTTTTTCCAAAACCCTTATAGGT